CTTCTTCACCTCTCTTCTCCCCGCCAAACCCCAACTCTAACCACCAAAACCGTAGAGAGCCCGGTCCTATCGTATCAAAGTTTCTAAAATCTATAGAGAAACCAAAGGAGAGAAGTGAACAAAGTGACCACCGTAGATTCTCTGAAATTCCGCCATTACCTCCGCCGTGTCTCTTCACCAGAAAAGTGTGAATCTCTCAATACAGATCTCAAGTCTTCTTGCAATTGAATTTATGTTAACTTTGATTCTAATTGTTGGGTATACTACAAGAGAACCTGTTTTGACCCATTCAGCTACATATGTTTGTAAGGAATATATTTTGTCAACACTTTTGGTGACCGGTCACCAAAAAAAAAAGGGATATAAGAATAATGTTTGTTCTCTGTCCTTCAAAGTTATTTGACTGACAATCAATAAGTGTTGTTTGTGTGAAGACAGTTTGAAGTTCTCTTTCTCTTTTTTTTTTTATTTTTATTTTTAATGTTTATACATGTCATCGATAATCATCAAACTCGTATCTTATCTACGCTGTCTACCATCACCACCTTGTTCCTTTTAGGTCCACTCAGTACACATAAGAAAAGGCATGAAAAGGACGGCTTTATTTAAAATTTGACCAAAAAGAATTTCGTCTTTTACCCAAAAAGGAAAACGGAAGCTACAGACAATTTCCAATTTGAGATTTTCCTCATTTAGTGTCAAGGACCAGACAATTTGGAAATTTCACAGAATGTTAGTCCAACAAAAGAAATGTTGACTTTATTCATTTAAAGTTACTTCTACTTGGGTATTAATATTGGGATGGATCCTATTTGGATAGATTATTTCAATGATTGATAATGCTAATTAAAAATTGCTCCAAATTAATACATTGACAGTATGTAACATTAATGCTTCAAAGCTACTGTTTCCCAGGTTTCAAATGTCATACATAAACCTCAAAGTGTTGGTCGGATGTCAAGGAGATTTGCTCATTTTCTTGAGATCTGAGTTCAAATCTGAGTCATTTATCACAATAATGTTGCGGCTTACCTATTCCTTTGGGTTTGTAGAATGTTTAATGAACCTCAGAAATTAGTTAAAGCGTTTAGGTTCAAACTTTGGGATCATCTACCACAATAAAATTGGGCTTACCTGATCTTTGGGTTTATAGGATATTCAATAAACTTTGAGGATTAGTGTGATGACGCATAAGCTAGCCGAACACCCTAATTACCAAAAAAAAAAAAAAATTTTGTCACACATTGCCACTGTTTGAGATATTAGAAATACCCTAGTAGATGTAACTTAAATGAAATAGAATATGATTATTACACCACCAGCTTTAGGCGTATAATACCCTTTATTTCTTAACTCTTAAGCCTTATACAACTCATATTCAACGTAACACCATTACTATTCTAATTACTTTCATCCCCAAAACCAAGAATCTACGGTTTACTCAATAATGTTTATAAAAAATATTGTTTATACTTTATCTCAGTAAGAGACAAGAAATCAGTTACCGACTTACCTCAACACTGAAGGGTCGATATTGGCTGTGTTTGATTTTGAAGTGTCAGCATCATGATTGTTTTATAAAGACAAAAATAAGTGACTGAAATTGACTATGTTTGTGATAATATTAATATATTATTATGCTGGTTTCGCTTCACTATCAACGCAGAAAATCAAGTGGGTAGTTTTCATTTTTTTTTTTTTTTTTTTTCTTTAAATTGATACAAAATCAAACAATTCAAACGGAAGGCTATATTATTAATTCAAAGCTTTAACAAATCCCAAATGGGTCTTAACTTGGTTGTGTGAGATCCTATTAATTTAATAAAAAAGAAAAAAAATATAAAGAATCAGTCGAAGTCTCTTGTGATAGTTTCTCTCATTTGCTTTTAAGGAATCTATTTTTTTTTACTATATATTTTTTTATAAAAATATTACTTTTATTCACTTTTCTTTTGTTGATATTTATTGTTTGTTATCACATTGTTGACGCTTGATTTTGGACGCCAATAACTCGCAGTGTAAAGTGCTAAGAGAGCCTTAGAAATTACACGTGATGGATCTATGAAATTTGAATATGGTGCTAAAGTTATATACGTTGCAGAAACATAATAAAAGATTGGCAAGTGGGGTTTTTATAGTGGTCAGATTTTTAAAGTGAATTTTACGTCCATGTTATTATATTATTCTCTAGCTATTCTATGTATTGCCCATAAGGCATCCAAAGATGGAGAAAAGCTTTGATTAAGAGAGAAAAATGAAATGAAGCTCAATCTATGCCTAACACTCATCTGTCCATCTCCCATTTTTTGTGAGAGAAGTACCAATTTATACATCTTAAGGTCAATGTAATGAATGTTTTGCAAGTTTCCTTAACCCATGGAAGACACTCATTCGTTCATCTCTTGAAAGGAGATAGGGTTGGTATGAAATCTTGAGGAGGTATGAGCTTGGTAACTAGTACGAAAAGATATTTATTAAGCTGACATAATCATGACTTTTTAGACATAACACACATAAAAAATGGATATTCAGTTTTATATATTATTAGTATAAATCTTATATTAAAGATTGTTTCATCTTAGAGCACCACTCTACATTCTCCTTCTGATGTTGCTTATGACCCTTTTTGTGTACATGATCCTGAGTTGGAAATTTTCTTCGAAACTTAAGTAGCAAGAGTATCTAAATTTTGCTGTTTTCATAAAGCTTGGATGCTTTGTGACAGTATGGCTCACACTGAGTTCATACTGTTAAAGTTTTGCAGCATAGCATTAATTAAACCAATTTTTAAACCCATTATCTACTTTGAAGGGCCCTTGGAAGATCTGGATTCTTGCTTTTCCGTGCATCAATCAATGAAGGAGAAATTTCTCTGAATCAATGAAAGCGATTGGAACTTCTCTCAAAAACAACAAAAAATATATTATAAGTTTTCTATCTTAGCTATTGAATACCTATACTGTCTAAATAAACTTCAGTTTCTTGATGTTCTCTCTCTTTATTGCCTTCCAAACGTCCTTCCGAAGTGTTAAATAAAGGAAAAGCTATGGCTGATGCTTATAGTGTGCAAATGAAGAGAGAAGAAGCGGAATTTTTGGACCTAGAAATTAAAGAGTTGGTAAATACTGTAAATTTAAGTTCATATTTTGGTGACAATTTGAGTCTCTTATAATTTTTGTGAGGGATTGATAGTGGAAGGGTTAAGTTTTGCATTATATTCATATGGTAGAATCTGAAACTCAACTGGAAAAACTTTGACCATCAACTAAATTTAATAGGCTAACATTGTCTCTTTATAAACCATTGCTGAAATAAACCCCCCCTGAGTGGAAAATGCTAAGCAAACAAAAAATTTCCATCATTTTATCTCTTTAGCTGGTGAGATTGCGGTTCAAACTGGTATGCTAGCTGCACGTAACCTCCCCATACTCATTGAACATTCCTACATAAAAAAGATAAATAAATAATATCACTTCTTTACTTCCACACACCACCTCCAAAAAGTTTAATAACGCTCTTGCTCATCAATAAAAACGAAACTTCTGTTGCATGAAGAACTAATTCATTCACATACCACAAACATGCTACATTGCGATATAGCAATCTCGACCGCTTCTTTGATGTGACAAGACTAATGAGACCCCCATGCACACAAGATAAGAACAATGTCAAATGGTAACATATCATGCAATTCATTAGATGCAATGAAAAAAAACAAAATTAAGAGCACCGATTAAGAATAATGAACACAATGAATGAATCTTAATAATGACTGAAATAAAGCTGAAGTAAATAATGCACTAAGTAAAAAATATGACACCGATAGTAAGATAATTGAGAACAAATCAGGTCACGCTTTTCCAGAGAATAAAGGATTAAAGAGAGCGCCCCAGAAAGAAACTAGTCTAGATTCTCTAATTCCAGCAAGATAGAACACAAATCCATCAGAAAGTGGATCCACAATTATCCCTATCAATGACTTTATGGCAAAGTAATGACGGTAAACGAGTAAAAAAAATCAAGCACCTTCAACAAAAGCCACAAAACAAAAGCCACAAAGTAGTCTATTGCAAGACAGGGCCAAATAATAAATGATTGCGACTAAAGAAGGCAAATTTGCATACCTGAAGAAAACGACTGTTAATTTGGACAAGAAAGCTTCAACGTTTCCAACGAGTAACAGTTGCTGAATAACATAAAATATAGTGCATAAAAGCATATAAAGTTAAGCTAAACCAAGAAAAAGGGAAAACATACTCAAATTGAGAAACCACAAAGTGATACAAGCAACACATTCACAATCCTGAACCATGAATAATTAGATAAAAGTCAACATAAATTCAATTGAAAGAGGACATTGGATCGTATTGAGAGACTCACCCTTTCCTAGAGAAGAGCCGCGATAGAGTATGGCAGAATTCGGAGAACCCACGGTGGTCACTCGGTTCACTTCTCCTTTTGGTTCCCCGTTAGATTTTAGAAGCTTTGAAATGATAGGCCGGACACCTGGTTTCGGTGATTTGGATTAGAGTTTGGTTTGTCGACGATGGAGAAGAGAGCATGGAGAAGAAGAACCAGAGAATTTGAAATCTGAAATAATAAAGTAAATAGAAATGGAGAAGAAAACATAGAAAATTAGAAAAAATAAATAATTACATTGATTATGGCATTGCTCAATTCTAGAAATAAGCAATTAAGGATGATGTAAAACTTTTGATGAAGTTTCGGAAATATCATAAATTATTATAAGAAAAAATTATTCAAGATTATGGTCTGGAATGAAGAGATAGAATTATCTATCTTATACACATTTCAAATCCGTTCTCCATGCAACAAAAAAGACAACCCAAACCATCTTCCATCCCTACAAAATCATTTTCTTATACAGATTCCAATCAATTTGAGTGGTCAAAAAACTTGGCTCTTCTCACTTTCTGTCTGTAAAACAGCGTCAATGACATCACTGTCCGGTCTCTATGCCGATAAATCTGAGGGCAGCTTCAGCCCCAGCCCCACCCAGCCCCAGGTACAGGGTGCAGGTCCAGCACCGGCTGGTCTTGAAGGGACTGGCCAAGATGCATGACTTCTTGATTAAGTGCAGGCAAGAAATCTTTCATTCCCTCGGTAGAGCCTCCTGAAATTGATCCTTTAGCCCTAATAATTTGCCTCAACTTTCTCTTTGACAGGGCTCCAAGCTCTTTAGTTGCTTCTCTGTCTGGTAGACAACCGAATCTGCCTGATAATTCCACCTTTTTGAAATTTCATTTCTATAAAACTGGATAAAAAATCATCAAATAGGTCAAAAGTTGATTGCATTCAAAAGCTCTTTTGATCTAACCTTAAAAGTGCTTGAAGTATAGCTAGCTCTCAGTTCTATATGCAACCTAAATCTGGTAACAAACACGACAAATATTTTAAAAAAAAAAAAAAAAGACATGAATCCACATTAACAGTAATACCATTTATCATAAAGGTTCTTAACTGAATTATTATAAACCTAAATCCTGCAGTACTTCCGAACAATAGTCTGAAGCAGCCTATGGTCATAACTTGAGGCAATTTTGGAATTCAATTAGCTCGTTAGAATCAAACTCACCTCATCACTGGGAAAGATGCTAGCGCCAGTAATCATGATGTCTTGCTTCTTCCCTGTACCGCTGTCAACAGCGGTGACAGAGAGAATACCATTGGCATCAATGTCAAATTTGACTTCAATTTGAGAAACCATCTAGACTGAAGCTGCCGAGAGATTAAATGTCCCCAACAAACTCTCACATTAATCTCCACACTGGTTTGCCGATGGGCAGCAGTTGAGAACACTTCTAATTCGAAGTGGGATGAGTAATGTTTCATGGGAAGATGTCCCATAAAATATAGTCATTTAAATTTTTTTTTTTAATTTTTATATGTACTGAAGACGTCTTTCTTCAAAGATATTGTACTTATTGAACGAAACAGAGACAACAACAGAAACAAAATATAATAGTAAAACAAATCAAACAGTAAACAAAAAAAAATAATACGATCAATTTACCCTGGTTCATTCAATGTGGACTACGTCCAGCTGAGTCAATATTATTGCAATATGCCTCACCTCTCTCGTTTACAATGAATGAATTGCTCTCACGCTCATAACAAGAGAAAAATATGATTATATATTAGGTTTAATAGATTAAACCTAGTTTTATAAGGATTCATATTCCTAAGCCCAACCCAATAAGGAATTAGTAATTTAAAAGAAATTCTACAGCGGTTATACATAAAAAAGCCCAAAACCGCTTACGGGCTCTAGGGCGCTGCCCCCGATACCCCCACCCGCTCATCGGGGAGCGAGACACCCGCCCGAGTGCGTCTCCGTTATCCATTAATGCTGAAGTAGTCGACAACTCCAACACTTATGATACTACCATTTTTGTCATAATGGCCTAAATTTGCATTAAACAGTTAAGGTTATGAAACTTCAGTATCATCTTCACGTTTAGACTTCCTGCCCACTTCACGAGTAGCAGACGACCTTCCATCAGAGTCAGAGATAGTTTTCTTTGAAGTTTGCGGTGTGTTTGGAATTCCCAGTTCTTTCTTACCTCTTCTTCTCTTATCTCTTCTTCTAGATACATCCAAGTATCATTTTTTATTGCTTCAACACCAAACCAGCTGACTCCTCCTGGGACAAATAATAACACGAAGAGAATGTCAGTTTTTTCAAGAGCTGCAGCAACACCAAAGAAGCCAAAATAAGGAATGCAAATGTATTTTATATTAATATTAAATTTCTTACTTGGTTTAGATTTTAGATACAGAATCTTGGATTATGATATAAACCAAATAATATAAACGGAAAGATATGTGGATTGAATTGCACACAAACCTCAGAAGATACGCTTAAATATAATTTTTGGGGCAAAACCTCCGTTTGATTCAAAATTTTGGGTTTTTGGGAAATTTTTTTTGAAAAAAGGTAAAAAAAATGTTGAATTGGACGGGTATTACGATGTAGGATTTACAAATTAATAAAATACCACCTATATTTATTTATTTACAAAAACACCTCTATAATAAAATATTAAAAGTTAACAAAAACACCCCTAACCCATCCTCAAATACAGACAGCCGGCCACCACCGTCGAAGGGTGGCCGGAGTCGCCGTATTAACGCATAACCAGCTGGATTTTGACGGTCGTGCGCCGATATGGCCTTTTTTGACCAGATCCATGGTGGATCTGGCCGGAAAAGGCTAGATCAACGCACTACCGTCCAGATTCAGCCGGTAGTGCGCCATCCTACCAGATTCCAGCCATTTTTCGACGGTGGTGGCCGGAATCTGGTAAATGTGGATTGTTGGGGTGTTTTTTTAATTTAAAAAAAATATATTTAGGGGTATTTAATTAAATTAACAAATTTAGAGGGTTTAAAAAAGTTGAATAATATTGAAAGTAGTATTCCCAAAAATCAAAATTTTTGGGTATTTTACTATTTAACTTTTTTAGAAATACTAAAAAATAGTATTCTTAAAACTGAAATAAACGAAGCCCATAATTTTCTTTTTATTGAAGTAAGTTTTTTCAACAAAATATTTTTAGTCAATGGTATAAAATAAATTTTGGGCTTCCATGCAACTTGTATATCTATAAGCAATGTTGGGCTTTTTGGGCTTTTTAGGACAATCGGGCCATGCCCTTTAATAAACCTAAGTAAGTTGCCATGAAGCTTCCATGCAACTTATAACTCTAGCTGAAAATAAGGGAATACATAAAGTAATTAGTGCAAAAGAGTTGTTTGGATAAGAGGTTTAGGTAACAGTAAAACCTTTCACAAGCCATTAATTTAATAAAAAAGATAAATAATAATATTAAAAAATCATTCCAAGTCTCTTGTCAGTTTCTCTCATTTGCTTATAAGGAATCTTATTTTTTTTTACTATAATAATTTTCTTTTAAATATTACTTTTATTCATAACCCAGTCAGCTAAAAGATTGCCTATAAAAATTATCTCTGTATGATCGAATGATTTGATAAAGACTCTTAAATATATTACTCAAGAGATCTTATACTAAATAATTTACTTTCTTTGTTATATTTTAAAAACTGAACTAGTGCTTCTAGTAGATATTCCACACAACTTAGACTAAAAGTGACTTTGAAAGTTTAGGTTTCTTGTTTAGCTATCAAAAATACTTTATGAGTGGTTTAAGGGCCAAAACTAACATAATAGAGGTTATGTATAAGAGAAATGCTACATGTACAAAGAATCTTTATGTAAAGTGATGTGGCAGTTGCCACACCACTAATTTGTAAAATATATATATATATATTGAAATTAGTGGTATGGCAATTATCACATCATTTTGTATAAAGACTCTTTTTCTATGTGTAATTAATAATACTACACTTAAAAATTTTTTATACAAAGTCATTCATACAGAGCAACATGACACTATTCTTGCATTGTCATATCATTCGTTATCATTTAATGTGAATTTATTAAATTGATTTTTATATTAACTTATCCAATTATAATTTGACACGTTATTTTGTATAGATGACTTTGTATAGAGTTTTTATAAATATAGTATTATTCATTTTTTTCTATGCTATCTAAAAAGGGCGAACATATGGTTTTGCAGATATCCCTTTGTTTATAATGGAGGGAGGAATAACTAATTTGTAACAAAACAAAATTATTGGGAAATAATTTTCAAAATGTTAAGTTATATAGTAATATTTTGTAATATATAATATTCAAAATTGAAGTTAAAAAACCGGGAAAATGATGGAAAAAGACTTTTTTCCATTTTCAGATTTTATATTAATGTATGGATTTTGTATTAAATTTGTTTTTGGAAACATTTCATTGAAATGTGTTTTGTGAAACAGTAGGCACTGAAAATATGAAATCTTGTTAACTAAAATCTAGAACAATTTTTTATTTTAAGGCTTTTGTAATTTAACATACATATAATATCAAGACGGTCCTGACTAAAGAATTTTTGTATGTATATAAAATCATTCTAACTTCCTTTTTGTTTTTGTTAAAAATTATTTGTGAATGATTGAATGATTTGATAAGAACTCTTAGATGTATTACTCAAAAAGTCATGTGTCGAATAATTTACCTTGCTTGTTACATTTAAAAAACTGAATAGGTGCATCTAGGAGATATTCCACACAACTTAGTCTAAAGTGACTTTGAAAGTTTGGATTTACTGTTTAGCACTCAAAACTGAGTGACTTTTGAATGGATTTCATTAAGTGAAGTCATTCCAACTTCTTTTTGGTTTTTCTTAAAATTAATATAAGTAAATAAATTATTAATATTAATATTATTTACTTATAAGTTATAACTTTAGTTCATAATCATTAAAAAGTAAACAAATCTTATAAACATTATATTAATAAGTAAATAATATTAGTGGACAAGATTGGTTTACTTTTTAATGATTATGAAACTAAAGTGCATGACTCATTTTTCAATTTCTTTTTTCTTCTCTACGCAAAGAATCTTGTCTTTGGCAATATCTTTTTTCTTCTCCACACGGAGAATCTATAAATCAAAGAAGTCCATGATTATTCGATAAATATGGGCTATCAATACTTTTTTAGACCAACCAAAATGCCTAATAAATCACTAAGAATTATGACACAAAATGGCCTGTTCTGGTGTTTGAAGAATTGCAGGATCACAAAAGTTTAAAACCATAATTTTCATTTTATTGAAGTAATTTTTTTCAATAAAATATTTTTAGTCAATGGTATAAAATAAATTTTGGGCTTCCATGCAACTTGTATATCTATAAGAAATGTTGGGCCTGTTGGGCTTTTCAGGACAATCGGGCCTGGCCCTTCAATAAACCTAAGTAAGTTGCCATGAAGCTTCCATGCAACTTATAAATCTAGAAGAAATGTTGGGCTTTTTGGGACAAGCGGCTGGTGACAATAGGCAAAACTGAGTGACTTCTGAGTGGACTTCATTGAGTGAAGCAAGTAAAATCTTTCCAACTTCTTTTTTTGTTTTTGTTAAAATTAATATTAGATTAAGGGGTGTTTATCTGATCTTATGAAAATTAGCTTATAAGTAACAAGTAATTAGCTTATAAGTATTTGAAATTTTAAGCAATTACGTGTTTGGTTAAAGTACTTATAAGAGACTGATAAATAGTTGACGTGTTTGGTAAAATGTGACTTATAAGTATATTTTATTATAAAATGACTAAAAAAGATACTATATTAAATAAGAGTATGCTATAGAATTTTAAAATTAAACAAGGATAATATGGTAATATACTTNGTATATTCCTAGAAATATTTATAGTATAAAGTTGTTTAACTAAAATTGTTGGCATTGTCATGGACATTCACTTTTCTTTTGTTGATTATGTTATTGTTGGTTATACACAAAAAAAATGGATCTTCAGTTTTATATATTATTATTATAAAATCTTATACTCTCTCCGTTTTTATATAAAAATCGTTTTAAGGGTATACACGATTTTTAATAAAAAAATTTTTATCTCTCTTACCCAACTTTTTTTCCTGATTTTGCAGGTGGGAAACTTTCCCGCTGCATATTTAAATAATTTACATTTATCTTATTCCATTTCTTTTATTATGTTCCTTCGTCTCTTTCTTTTCTTTTACTCTGTTCCATTTCTTCTGATAATTATTGACCTCTGCATCATGACGAAAAGTGAGAAGGGCAACAAGACAAGAAAGCAGTGACTTTTAATTTGA